AGATTTGATTTCCAGCAGGGATAAAATGTTAGGCAAGCTTCCTTGCTCCACACGCTTCTGTTTACCTAGCAGTAAGTAGGAATCTGGTTGTTGGTCGATGGGTGGATTGCTTTTCAGGGAGTAGTAGTCCCTTCAAAAAAAAAAAAATTTGTCATTCAATCCACGACTGTTTGTGGTACTCTGCTGTGCACCTTTTTACCCACAAAATATACAGTCAATTCACTTTACAGTACATTCTGTGAAGCGCTTTGAGGCGTCTCAAAGATGTGATAAGACGCGATATCAAATGCAAGGATTTTTATTAATTTACAGGCTCACTGCTTTTAAGGATTGCCGAAAAACATTTTCCAAATTGAGACTGAATTTTAAGAATTTTCGACAGTTTTTCTGCCCAATTTTAATGTTAAGGGCTATGTGCTTTTTTTAGGCTGAAACTAAGTGGAATTTTGAACCCAGGAGCTGCATCTATGCTGGAGTGCCATATCAGTGCCATGAATTAGATAGCACAGCAAGACCGCCTCCTCCAGGTGTTTTTTTCAGGCAGTTAGTCTCCAAAGCAATTTGTTTCCAGATTACGAAACCCAAACTCAGTTTATACTGCTTTTTGCACATTGATTCAGCGGTACGAGAAAATCTCAGTATAAACAGAGCACTTGTCTTCAGTTAAAGAATTGTTTTTGGGGGGTGGGGTGGTGGGAAGGGAGGTAGGGAAGCACTTGTCTCTTTTAACCTTGTTTTTCTGAATAAGTCACGAGAGCTGTTGTTTTCTGAGAAATGCCCCACAAACCTTTTTCGAGAATCTGTGCATGGAAAAGATTAAATGAGTCACTGGGCGTGTTAGTGAGCCTTACCTTTGTCAAACAAGGGTAGCCAGGCATGCAGGTCTATACAGCAATGCATGTGAGTCTGCAGACTCAAGTTAAAGCACATGAGTGTAATGGGGGCAACAATGATGCATCAGTTCCTCACTATAACCTATTATTTGAATTACAATGCAGTATGAGCCATACTCTGGGGGAAAGGTATGCAAAGTTGATTCAGCTCATCAGAAATTCTTTTACAATGCAACTCATTCATGCAATCACTGCTCAGTCGCTGTATTGGGTCTTCATATAAATATCGTACAAACTGTATTCCCTATCTTTACTGTCCTTTGATTGAATGAAGAATAGAAGTGTCTAGCTTTTGAATTCTTAATGTGAATTGGCATACTGAATGTGTTATTTTTAGGATGTACGGGAACTTTTGCTTGTAAGGTAGTGTGGTTTCCTCTCATTGCTAGAGCATGACTGCCATGTTTCTGTATTTTTATGTTACTGACTCATTCTTAAGTGGAAATTGAGTACATTAAACAAGTTTTTTATATGTGAGTTCGATCAATAATCTCCATAATCTCCATGCTCCACTTAATGCTAATTATTTAATTACTGGTGATTTCCTTTATGCACATTATTCCACTGTTTGATTCAATATCTGATGGCCATTACTCTTCCATGGTATCGAGTACAAATTAATGTGAATTGTATGTATTTGCATAAAAAAGGAATGTTTTTGAAGACTTTAAATCAGAATCTTTGGGCTTATAAGATGTAATAAGAGTTGTCTTGCACTCAATATTTTCATTATTTAAATCCCTAAATAAAAATACATCAGCTCATGATATGTTTTGGGACGTTTGCTATTTTGGCTAATTTGATATGTAATGCACTTAAATAATGTGCTTTAGCAGAACTTTGGGAAAAAATTGGCATTTTTAGATGTTAAACATGAATTTGTATGCAATTATCTGCAGAAGAGGCATTTGCTGAAGTTATTTGTAGCCAATTGTGGTTGTACAACTCTGATACACAAATTATTGATCCATGTCTTGGTGGTGCCAGAAAGCAAGATGATGATTTTACATTAAGTAATACATTCAAGATTTTTCCATATTGAAAATATACTTGCATTTTTAATGCAGCCTATTCCAATTGAATCATTGTAACACACAGTAGATGCTGGTATTGGGGGTACCTTATTCTTTTATGTTTCGCAATATTGGGCATCTAAACAGTTAAACAAGTTATGGGGAGACTTTGGTAAGTGGGATTTGAGCTGTAATTTACATTTATGACGAGAGGTCTGAAATGCTGTACACTGTCCAGCGCCTTGGGATGTGAAAGGAGCTATACAAGTATAATCTTCTTGTTGATGATATTCTTAAATTTTAGCCAATGAACAAATTTTAAGTATTAGTAAAGAATTGTGTGGACATTTGATTTTATAAACTTATAAAATATAACCTTGTATGCATTTAGAGAAGTGTATTGAAAACCAGAATGTAAAGGCCAAATTTGACTTGAGAAGGGTAACTCGTGTGCGCTAGACCGTGTACATGCCGGTTGCATGACTAATTTACATTTATCCTACTTCCTTTAATCAAGTTAACAGGAAATTAATCCTTTCCCTTTCTGTCTAACGTATTGGATTGCAAGAGACTTTGATTGTGCTGAAAGAACACAAAAAATTACAGTCATTTTTGCAGTTTTTCATCTGATTTCAATATGCATTTTTGAACCGATTTTCTCAGGAATCCTGGTGAGATTATATGATTTTTGACCCTCTAAATCCTGCCTTCAACTCTAATTTACAATAGTCTGCTTCTATCCAGAATGCCAAGGACGTGTTATCTGCTTTCTACATTGTTGGGGAATTTCATTACAAAATAGAATCATCCGCTCATGCATCTCCTAATGCCAGTGTGATTTCAACTTCCCCTAATTACAGGGGCCATAGTGGGAGAGCCCTGCTAGCGTTCCTTACCTCACAAGCATTCTAAGGCCAAGAGCAGAATATTTTAAAGCTCTTAAAGCTGGGAGGGGACTTGGAAGCCGAGTGGGAATGGTGACACTGAGTAGCATTGTGGGGGAGGACAGGCTGCGCTTGGAGAAAATAGGATTTTCCCAGCATTTGTTGAGCACCTAAATGTAATAGGATAGAAAGGCACAGTTCGTAATGATCCTTGCTTTTGATATAGCGTCTTTCATGTCAGGAGAACATTCCAAAACACTTCACAAGTGTTTGTTGGTCAAATTCAGAATGATATTGTGTAGAACTAGCTATGATATCAGGATAACAAAATTTTAAACACTTACCGTAGGTGGCTCATGATTTTAAGGGATAAATAATAATCCTTCCATTTGATTTGAAGTCTCGAGTTGATATTTTGATCAGATTAATGTCTTACATGCCTTTAAGTATAAGTACAATAATTGTTGTACTTATAATAATGTATAATAATCCTTGCATTTGATATAGCACTTTTCATGACTTCTCGACGTCTCAAAGCGCTTCACAGAATAGACTAAAGTGAATTGACCGTGTATTTATGGGCGAAACGCGGCAGCCAATTGTGCACAGCAGTGAGTGTCCCACAGACAGTCGTGGATTGAAAATGATCAATTTATTATTGTTTTTTTGGAAGGATTATTATTAGGCGTGTGGAGTAAGGACACTTACCCAAGGTTATACTTAAGTTCCGCCCACAAATATACGGTCAATTCACTTTACAGCATATTCTTTGAAGCGCTTTGAGACGTCGAGAAGATGTGAAAAGCGCTACATCAAATGCAAGAATTATTATATAATTGTTCCTCTAATGAAGTATGTGCGCTAAAGTACTCTAATGACATCTGCACCCATTGTTTTCTGGAGTGGCTCCGTTGAAATTAGCAGGTGGAAGCTTGGTCTGGTCTCTCAGGCATCTGACCGTTAGAAAGGTCAGTACTGATTGGTGTGAAGGAATACTTAACCAATGCTGACTGGGGCTGGGGGCAAACTCCAGACCAGCTCCCAAATTTCCCATCCTCACTAAACTGTAATTGAGCCACTCTGCAACATGGTCAGCTCCTGACCCAACCAATGTCGCAGGGGTACCATTACAAACAAAATCCCAATTGAATGATATAATTCCTGTTAAAATGTAAATGCATCTTTTAGACTTGATGAACTAAACCTCTGATCTGAATTGGCATGGAGTCAGGTTTCCCCCTAAATATAAAGTAACCTGGAAATATTTTTCTAATGTTTGCACTATGTGTGACTGCTCTCAGAGCTGAGTGCAGCTCCGTTCAATTTAGAGCAGGGACTCGATAATGCTAAACTTGGTTCGTGTACAAATAATAAATGGTTTGCAAACCTTCAACATGTTTTAAAAGACCTTGGGGTTGCACTTGGCCTATTGAATTTTTTTTTCTCTGAGTGTGATGCACTTTCTATACCCGCTCTGTTGCCTCATTCCATTTAAACTGAATATCCCGTAGGATTTATCCACTGTTGACAACAATAACCATGGAGTTAAAATGTGCACAAGAGCGAGGAAATTATATTTAAAAGCCACTGATTGGCTGCGTGTGTTTATATAGATATTCCTCATTCCCCAAGCATACATGGCCTATTTATAGCTGGCTCCTCCCTTTGTTCTATTTCAGTCTGCTTCAGCCTGTATTATTGTTGATTTGGATGTACATGCACTAGCTTTTATTTGCAGTAGGCAACTTGTATGGTTGCTTACGTTGCTGGTGAGAGAATTAATCTTTTTGTACTGAATTGTGCCTGTCAATCGACATGAGGTTTTGTTTCAGTGAAGGTCTTTCCCTGTCTAGCCCCGATGTGGCATGCTGCCTCTTGCTCTCCTTTTGCTAGAACGAAGATGACTGAATGTTTGCTGTAGCGGTGGATTGAAAACCACCAACATTAATGAAGGATGTTTGCTCCGCTGAGCATTTCAAAGGGCTTGACTGTGTTAAAAATTGTCTGGAAATTTTGTTTCGCAGTTTTCAGCAGCAAAAAGTAAAAGGATAAGACTGTACCTGGAAGCATCAAAAGTTAAAATATTTGCATACTGCAAGCTGGGAATTGTTCAGTTTTTGATGACTTGGTCATGTTACTGAAGCCCAAAGTGCCTGGACTGAAAAAGATGTTACAGACTATTTATGAGACTGAATCGTGTTTCTCCTCAGATGGTGTATCTGGACGAGAGCAGCCTCTGGAACTGTTGACCCGAAGTCGAATTCACACTATGCCAACCTCAGGTAAGCAACATGGTTTATTTGGCATGTATTTATAATCCCTGCAGCTCTTTGTCCACCAAAGATTTTTTTAAATTCTTGAACTTCTGACCGTATGAACATTCTGGACCGAATGGCTTGAGGGAGACAAAGTGTTGAAGTATAAGTGTTAAAAGAAAACCACTGTCAACTAAATGCATTTGAATTGCATCCTATCAACTCTTGTCACTGCTGGGTTTTTAACATAAAAGTTGCTGATTGTGTTGAGCATTAGTATTGTCCATTAATGTTGGTGAGTTCTCTATGGGAAAAGATTTGACGGCAAACCTTTTCCTAAAGATTTTTTTTTAGTATATAAGTAGTGCTTTTAACCTTAATTTTCTGAAGCTAGCTATTTCTAGGTCCTGTTTATTCAGCACGTGGTAGGTATCTGTCAGCACTAGATAGTTATGTGATATCAGACCAGTCTTCGAAGTATGCCAAAGCTAAGAATATTAAGATATTTATAGCTGGGGAAACTTAAGCTTCTTAATGTTGCCAGCACAGCTTTGGCAGTATAAAACAAACAATTGGTTAATCCAACTCCCTTTAGTTTGATGCACTGTAGTTATGTTTAGTATGTTAAATGGGTCTGTTTTTTAGACATTTGACTTGAGTATAAATACAATGCACATTACATTGTAGCAGGAAGGGCTATAAATATTCAGGTTAATGCTGCTAACTGTGGTTTTATTCAGCCACATTTGGTTCAGCTTCATTCTGTCATACTGAGAGTGTCTGATATTTAGTGCTATCTCCCCTCCCCCTGTTCACTATATACTGTATCAAGCCTGGATACATCTGATTAGGAAGCCTTACTGGGATTAGAGCTATACATTAGCAGAGTTCAAAGTGCACTCCTTGTGTTCTATGCTTCAGAGAATAACAAAATGGTCTGTTTAATATTCTGGAGAAAAGGGATAAATATTAACACGTCATATTTGCTTTTTAAGCATCACAAATTGACAGTGTTCAAGTCAGAGTCCTGGATAAGATTTTTATTTGAACGTTGAGTCAGTACTACTGTACAGTAGTTGTAAAAGCCATTGCTGTCACTTTTACTGTTTTCATGAGCGCACAATGGATGTAGATCAGATTTAAAATAGTTAATTATAACTTTTTCAAGCTACAAAATCTCTTCTGAGAAAGTTACCCAAAAGAATCAAAATACAGAAAAGGTTAGCGGCACAGTGTCATGGGAAGATTGGGGGAAAATGGGAATAGGGAGAGACCATTTGGCCTTTAGGCCTGTTTCATCAGTTTATTAGATCTTGACAAATCTTTTAAAATATTCTGCTCTTGGCCTTAGAATGCTTGTGAGGTAAGGAACCAAATAGGGCTGTCCCACTATGACCCCTGTAATTAGGGGAAGTTGGAATCGATGCCCTTTCACCATACTCCTTAATACCCCGCTTCCCAAGAGGCTGTCCATCTCTCTTTTCAATATTCTTGATTCCTTATCCATTATTTCCATCTCTCCAGCTTTCTGGGCACTTTTTCACAACTCTTAATTTGAAAAACTGCTTCCTCATCTCAGTTCTAATTGCCTTGGTTACTTCGACAGATTTAACATTATATTTAAAGTAAGATTCCTGTACCTAAAAGCTTAATATTTTTTTTTTACAATGTGTTTAGTTTGCTTCTTAAATTCACCAGAACACCAAGCAACATAGCACTGGAATTGCAATCAGAAACTATCTCATATGTAGTTCTTAACATGCTGTATTTATTTATGCAAAATGTGTTCAGGTTTACTTAACAGAAAATGTAACATTTGACATAATTTAAGGCTAACTTTATTTTTTCCAAACTTGACTCCCAATTCACATCAACTAAACTGGCTGGATCTGATATCAGTTTTCTTATTCGTTAACTGCAATGAATGTCCTATAAACTTTTATTTCTTTTCCGGGTCTCTTACATGTATTAACTTAACAGAGCTGCAAATGTCTTCTGTTATCATTCAGTGGCTTGAGATGTTTTGCTTTTCTTGAGTAAGATCATTTACTCCACACCCAAGTAGATAACCTGCTTTAATCTAAACAGGAAGCCTGAGAGATGCAACGTTTCTGCTCTTTTGTGCATGGCATACTAATGTGCTTGCCATGGCAACCAGAGTGCTGCAGATCTTAGCAAACCATTGAGCTTTTATTTCGGGATGTTTGCCCTTGAGCACAAGTGCTTCAAAAACCCAATTTTTCAACAAAAAAAAGCTCTTTACCTGGTTTGGTGGAAGATTAACCTAATAGGGTTTTACATACTGCAGTATTTCATCCATTCTGACTGAAAAAGGTTATATTTCAACTCATGTTGCCTGACACATTTCTTTTAATATATAAAGCTGTTCTCAACTTGCAAATGCTTGCGTCTCTTGGCACGCTTGTTTCAAAAACCAATGCTTTACTTTCTGGGAAAGCTTTCCCGGAAAAATAATCCAATGTCACCGCAATACAAGTCTGTGAATATCTAGAATTGGTGGTGAGTACACGTGAAGATATACAAGAAGAATCATCTTGGAAGAATAAAGCAAAGTAAAACATTTTTGCTGCTGTTCGATAATATTGTTAGTGTGCTAGCATGCTTTACAGAACCTACGAACCTCCCATACTGCTCAATGGAGTGCATTCTAGTGCAAACATTAGAGTTGCTGAATATCATTTTCTGATATTGCATGTCATGCTTATTTTGGAAAACAAATCGCAGCATAGATTATGAATTTATTTTTTTCTTTCAATTTTCAGAGGTTTAATGTAATAATTTTTAAAATGGGCTCATCATTGGCATGATGGTATGCTCCATTGTAAAGAACAAACACTCTATTTTTTATTTGGCCTGATAAGCATTGTTAAAGCCCTCTATCAATTTGACTAATGCACCTCAATTGGAAGTGTTTCATTTTTTTATATTCCCTTCCCCTTGTCCAGCCCAACAGGTGCAGTGTAATTTCACTTTGTAACCAAATGACTTGCCTGTTAATCATAATAAGTACAAGAATGAAGGCATTGATAGGGCTCTGAGATATCAAGGATCCTGTAAATTATTGGTGGAAATTAAATCTGAAGTAAAAATGTTAATTGTTATTTTACAATTCTCCTAATCAATCCAATCGTTACACCATGTTTCGAAAGACCTTAAGCACTACCTCATTTGGCATGAGAGCACAATCTCTTGGCCTAGCATAGTGAATTTGCCTCCACCACTACCTCTCCCCTCAGGCTGCCGCGACACTTATCCATGCTTTCATTATGTCCAGGCTTGAATATGCTAAATCCCTGCTCGCCAAACTTCTCAACTGTTCCCCCTACAAACTGCAGATTATTCAGCACTCTACAGCTCGTGTTCAGCACTGTGAGCCAGCCGATCACCCCCATCCTTGCCCGGCTTCACTGGCTCCACATCCCCCAGAGGATCGAGTTCAAGGTCCACATCTTTAAAGCCAATCTTTAAATCTTTGCTCCTCCCTACCTCTGCGATTTGCTAAAACTTTAGCAGCCTGTCCTCCCTCCGCTTGGTGGGAACTAGCCACTTAAACCCTTCACTGTCAAGCACCTTGGTATGTCCTCCTGATGTGAAAGGTGATATATGATGCAATTTGTTGTTTTTGATGTTCTATGGGGTTACACTTGTGATTCCAGGGTATACAATGTTTTTTGCTTTTCATAAGATAACACTCTTTAAAGCTGAACTATCGAAGCAGAATCTTAAAGGGAAGAGGGAGGGTAAGAAAATGGGGTTCGAATAAGTGGTTTGTGAGCTTGATGGGCTGAATGACCTGTTTCTATGCTGTAGTAGTCTAATTATATTCATGGTATGACTGAAAGGGCATTATCAAATCTGTAAGTCCTGTACTTTTAATGGTGGCCCTTTTCACTTCTGCTACTATTCTTGGATTGCCTCACTTTCATAGTTCTCATAGTTCTTTCATAGCTTTCTGTTGCTGGAGAAAACAAGAAATGGCAAGTCCAATCCATTCTAGTTGTTAAGCCAGGCAGAAAAAAACAGGAGCGAAGTGGAGGGAAATAACCGACGAGGAGCAGAAAATAGATTAACAGCGGTTTTATGTTACTTGAAAGCACGCAGTCTGGGGTCTATTTTCACAACGGTGCAAGCAGGAGCCACGTTTTCACTGCATGCTTGCATTATTGAGAAGTTGGGAAAGGCAGAGTGCCACAAGTGTTCTCAAGCGCATGTACAGAGCGCTGCTCACTGGCCTCCCAATGTCAGTACCATGTTTAACCATTGAAAACACCTGACAAAATTAGCTGTTTTCCATTATTATTATTATGAGTCTAAACAGGTACAATGTGTCACTGTTCTATGGGAGCCATGGTCCTAACATTTATATAGAAAAATTTTTCTTGAAGTATCTATTACTACAGTTTTTTTTCTAACGCACCACAGTAGTAAACAGAAAGGTTATCTATTGTAGACACTGCCAATTACTGCTTAAAATAAATCTTAACGGTATCCTTTCTTGAATCAAAAGATAATTTTAATTTTCTTTTTAATTAACTGTTGGTCTAATGATCGTCCAATTCAACATTTGGGATGGTTTTAGTAAGCCAACTAGGGAATAGAGTGCCAGAATTTGATTTACTTAAACTCTTAACTACCATTAGATCAGTGAGAGGAGAGACATTCATCTCCTTTGCTTGGGTTAGGTCCAAGCTTCATTCTGGAGAGGCAGGCTAACTATGCAAAGCACAGCAAAGTATTCAATGCCTTTCCACTTTAGGTAACTTGCCACAGTTTATATTGTCGTACAACTGAAGAGGAATATTAATTGTAAGTTACGTACATGCTGTTTTATTTCCATGTAGGTCAGGGCATTTAATCTTGCTTCGTGTTCTAAGTTTCAATGAGGTTAAAATTCTGTTGATATTTCAGGCTCACTTTCAGAACTTGGTCTGCAAGATTGCCTGAGGATCCAGATGCTGTGAAAAAACATCCATCCCTTTTACACTATGAGGTGATTTCTACAGCAC